TTTCCATGAATGTTAGGTGGTGGAAGGACCTCAGTTTGGCTAAGGAGCTGCCATTTGCAAGGGACCAACCAACAAAATGGCATTTAGTGTCCTTGGTATGCCTCACAGATCCAAGCTTATCAGATCAAAGGATTGAACTCACAAAACCTATTTCCTTGATTTATATAATTGATGACATCTTTGATCTTTATGGGACACTTGAAGAACTCACTCTCTTCACTCAAGTTGTCAACAGGTATCAATCAACCTAATAATAAATATTATACTTAGCAATCAAAAATGCCAAAATTTTAACATATTGATCCATTTCCTTGCAAAATTAAGATGGGATTGTACAGACATGGACCAACTACCGGACTGCATGAAGATTTGTCTCAAGGCTCTTTATGACATAACTAATGAAATCAGTCACAAGGTTTACAAGCAGCATGGATGGAACCCGATTGATTCCCTGAAGAAGACAGTACTTGCCGTGCAAGCTATTCAGTTTATGAATTATTAATAAAAAAATCTAAGAGAATTAATAAAATGAACTCATGGGTGATTCCTTTTGGTTGCAGTGGGCAAGTTTATTCAATGCATTTCTGTTAGAAGCAAAATGGTTTGCTTCAGGGGAGCTCCCAAATCCTGAGGAGTACCTGAAGAATGGGGTGATTAGTTCAGGAGTGCATGTGGCACTGGTTCACATTTTCTTTTTGTTGGGTGAGGGTTTCACCCACGAAAATGTGGAGCTATTACACAACAATCCAGGCATAATATCATCCACGGCAACAATTTTTCGACTCTGTGATGACTTGGGAAGTGCCTGGGTACGTAACATATTTTAGTCTGAATCTCATTCAGCCCTATGCCACTTATGCAAGTTAGAGTTATCTCACAATGCTGCTGTGTGTATATACTATAGGATGAGAATCAAGATGGCCAAGATGGGTCTTATGTGGATTGCTACAAGAAGGAACATCAAGGCATCACAGCAGAGGATGCACGAAAGCATGTTACACAAATGATTTCAAAGGCCTGGAAGCAGCTGAACCAGGAGCGCCTCTCCCCAAATCAACTTCCTTCATCATTCACAAAGGCTTCCGTTAATCTTGCAAGAATGGCTCGTCTCCTGTACAATAATGATGAAAACCAATGCCTTCCAGGCGTGGAGTACATGAAATCCATTCTATATGAAAGAAGAACTTAGACAAGAAAATAGCAATTGGTGAAGCTCCAAATCGTAAAGAGCTTACTTACCAAGCTACGCTTTTCCCATTGTTTTTCCATCCAACTGAAATTGGTACATCTCCAAGTATTAGAATAAAATTGGTTGCGCTAAAACAAAGTAAGAACATCAAATCAGTGAAAAGAACAGTTCGAGAAGTAAAATTTAATTGTAGCAATGTTATTGTTGAGTAAATTTATTTCTTCAGCAATCTCAAAACTTAGTTTAATACTGCTTCTACTCAATTTTTCTTAAATTGCAGAGACATGTAAAGCAGAGAGAACCAAAAGAAAAAAAGACATAGAGCCATACTATACTAACAAACAACCACAATTGCACAATGGACCTAATAAGTTATTCAGTTCTACTAACAAGATGATTTTTTCATATTTTCAGTACAAAGATCCATCTATATTTAAAAACTTCTACTGTCAGAAAAGAAATGCCAAGACAAGCAAGAGAAAATGTAAGCAGAATTTCAAAGCGTCATTGGAAAAGTATAAGCTAAAAGTCACATAATTGCCTTTGTGAAGGATAAAACTTAGTCACCATTAACAATATCAGTTCAGGAAACAGAAAAAAAAAAAAAATCAAACAAGTACAAGAGTATAGATAGCAAGCTGAAATAAATAGTGTACCTTCAACAGAAGTTGTTACCCAGCCTAGAGAGTAGCAAATACTCCTTGAATATCATAAAGGATCCAAACTCAAACTAGAATAACAATAGTAGAGCTATAGCGCTGCCACTACTACTCTAAAGGCAATTTTAGGCTATATTCAAGGTATTTATTTGTCTTTCCAAGCTGTACCAGCTTCCTTTCCTCTTCAAACTTGGAGAACTTAACAAGTTCATCTACCACTTGCTGCAACAATGACTCATGAAAAAAAAAATTCTCTACCAGATTTTCAATTGAAAATCCTTCCACACTGCTCAAAGACAATCTACTTCATCCTTCTCACAAAAGAATGGAACTAGCAGTTGAAATGTCATGCCCATCTTCCATAGATGGGTAGCCATTTAAAAATTATCTTGCAAACTGAGCAGTTGAAATGTCATTTTAGCAGGTGGGACACCATTTTCCTTCTTTTGACTATACCACCACTTAGATTCCTCCAGATTCCCCTCACTGATAAAGCCTTCAAACAAAATATTGAAACTAAACACATCGGATTCTTATCCTTTACTCTTTATTCTCTCCATCAACAAACTTCCCATTCTTATAAAAAGCATCTAGGAGCATGTTGTAAGAGACCATATTTGGCTCCATACCCTTCTTCTAAATCTCATAGAGTATCAAACTGGCTGAATCTAAAGAAAAACCATCTCACACTCACAGAATGCCTTGATGGCCGTGTTGTAGGAGACGAAAGCCAATTTAATAGATAATTTCTCTGGAAAAGCCTATTAACTTCATCAAACTTCTTAGAATTTGCACAAGCTCCCATAAGGGTATTGAACGACCACAAACCTCTTACCGGCATTTCATCGAACGTCTTCTGGGCATGATTGAACATGCCGACCTTTCCATGTAAATTGATGAGCTTCACGCCAACCCCTTCTTTGTAGATGTGCATATCTTTATTGAGTTCCTGGAGGATTTCATCTAATGAGGTTCAGGCTTTAGGTTCTGATGTTGAGGAGAAGTTTCTACAGACTACGCCATAGAGACATGCTTCTGGGCTGGCGTCGGCCGCCTCTGATGCAGGGTTTAAAGGTTTTGACCCCCTAAACATGGTTACATATCAACTCCATGTTGATAACATAATTAGTTGTTTTTAATTAAATGTTTACCTATGATATTATATGTATTTAGTTAATAATAAATTATTATCTTGAACCATTTAATTTTATGTGTCATTATTATTATTATTATTATTATTATTATTATTATTGTAAATTTAGAATTCTATATGCAATAATGGCATACTGTAAATTTTTTGGGAGGCATAGTAGTTCCTTGGTTCTATAGTAGTGGATAGATTTCTCTTATTCATTTGCTCATCTTATTTATTTGTTTTACACCTTAATTTAAAATTATTTACTTTCATTAATAGGAAATTATACTGTCACAACATAACTAATTTTCAAGAAAAGTTACTGTAACAGAGGGATTTGGATCATAAGCATTTTTCAGTCACTTTTTCAAGTACTTCTCTGGTTTGGGGATTGATTGAGTTTAATTACAAAAATGCTATTGAGTTTGTTTCATGTAATTTGTACTTGTTAAATTCAAACTAACATGCTTAATCAGTTAGTTACAAAAAATGGAATTTTACAAACCAGTACAAGTCTCATGAGAATTGTCCTAACAAACCCCACATTCATGATTCTCATTTTCTCAGATGCCATCTTTCTTTCTGAGAAGCATCTATATATGCCTAATCCTCTTATTTTCTAGTTCTGATATTGTCAATTTACTCTCTTTTTAGATATGGAATTTTCAGCCATCACCATGGAGGAATTATGCATGAGCGGAGAAGGCGAGGGGGGAAGAAGAATGGGGAGGAAAAGGCCTGTCTATGATGAGAACAAACAGTACAAATCAAAGAACCTCAATGCCGAGAGGCGAAGGAGGGAGAAACTCGGCAACAGGCTCCTCACTCTGCGTTCTTTAGTCCCCATAATCACCAATGCAACCACCTAAACTTTGCCTCAGTTTCTTTTGCTTTTCAACAACATAACTGCTCATCATATTTTCTGCCTCTGATTCTTTTTTCTTGATCCTGTAGATGAATAAGGCAACCATAATTGACGATGCAATTACTTACATCAAAAGCCTGCAGAACACTTCCAAGGTTCTCAGTGACCAGCTTCTGGAAATGGAAGGATTTCCAGAAGAGGAAGAAAAACCCATCAAGAGTGAGATTGATGCTGCAGAAGAGATGAAGAAACATGGAATTCAGGTTTGTATAACTATGACACCCCTCTCCCCCAATTGCATTTTTGCATAAAATATATAGTGTCAAGTTACCATTTTTCTTTTATCACAAAAGACAAAATTGTTTTCCTAATGTGTTGTTTATAGGAAGAAGTTGAGGTGAGCAATATTGATGGGGAAAAACTTCTGATCAAGATTGTCATTGAGAAGAAATGCGGGCGGTTCACTAAATTGATGGAAGCCATGAGTTATCTTGGATTTGAGCTGAGTGAAACCAGTGTTACAACCTTCTCAGGTGCAATGCTTGTTACATCCTGTATACAGGTATTTCTATAAAGTACCTTGAGGGAAAAAATGGCAGTAATATCTACTAAATATGAAATGCTATCCTCCACATGCCATGTGAGATAACAAACTTACGAGATAGCATATTTTGTACAACTGTTAAAAATCAAAGTACAATTTTGCCAGTAATTTTCCTGTTCAGAATAAGTACACAGTGAAATTCTCAATGCTTGAAACAACTTGTGTTTGTGTCTGGATTAATAACTTCTAGAACCTAATTTTTTCGTCGAAAAGTAATGTTAAGTTTAACATGATTTCCAGGGAACTTATGGAGATAAGCTCACAGTGCAGGAAACCCAGGATTTGCTGTTGGAGATTATCAGAGGCATTTAGCTACTGATTTTGCAGAAGCATTTTATTTAACAGTAAATACTATGATTTATCTAATAACATACTGTATTTTTGCCGTACAATTAAAAATTTGACATTCATTGATATTTATTATGTATATTGACTGGACCTTAATTAAACAAAAAGACTCCATGGAAGTTGCTTTGAAGGTTATGAGACTGAGTCAATTGTTTGAAACTTTGAATGAATACTCTTGACTGCTGAAACAGTTGCATGGAAACTCAGTTGCTCCTTCTTGTCATTTTCTTGATTAATTGCATTCACATCAGTCATTACTTTAAAAGACTGCTGTGTGTGTTGGTGACCCTTACGCTTTAAAATCTCCCCTGAAAAAGGCCTCCCCAAACATCACCTTCCCCGGCCCCATAGAAATATTATATGAATGAGATTCACATTTAGGTTTATCAGTTTTTCCAAGTCTTCAAAGTATTAAAACAGGCCCCTTTTTTGCTTGACTTTATTGACTCTTTGTCTATAAATAAGAGCAAACACTTGAATCCTTCGCAGGCTTTGTTCAGGCAATTCCTGCAAAAAACTAAGTTTTATGGATAGATTACCTCACTTCCTTTGCATTATTATGTTAGCTGTACAGGTATTGAGCTTGGTAGCAAAGAGTCAGGCATTAGAGGGTAGTTCAGGGTCCATGGCACCAAGGGCCTGGCCTGAAGCTCAACCACCCAATGGGGTAATTGCAGAAAGTCCAAGGAGCAGATTGATGGGAAAGCACCGTTATTCTGACGCTGGTGGAGATTTTATCCTCGGAGGATTTGTGATGGTCATGGTGGTCGTGGTTGCATGCTATATTCGCGTCACCAGGAAGAACCCTGAAGCTGCCAAAGCCTGAGTTTCAAAAGTTCTTTGCCTGCCGTAGGTACTTTATTTTGGAGGAACAGATGATTATAATACGGTTGAAATAGTCTCTAGAATTATTTTTTTTTTGGAGGATAAATAATTTCTACAACGTTTTGTAGCATTTGACATGGTGGAAAATGAAATATTTGTTTGATTTTGTGTGGTGGAAAATGAAATATTTGTTTGATTTTGGGTGGCAAATTTCAAGCGTTAGATATAGCAACCGAACCATTAAAAATATATATATTATATATATCATGGATTTATATTAAAAAAAAATCATTGATGGAGATTGAACAAAATCCCAACTTCAAAAGAAAAAAAAAATCCATAAAAATAGGATGTGTAAATAAACAAGAAAGACAATCTTTTCAACTACATGCGATATTCTAAAATTTCTAAAATCTTATCACTTTAATTGCAAAATCTTATCACCATATTAACATCTAAAAAACAAAAAGAATATAATAAAAGAGATCAAAATTCTCCTTGGAAAAATTGAAGGAATATAAACAATCTCATCTCTGATCTTGACATTCCCTGGTCTCCCTCCCAACATTCTCTGACACATTTTCTGCAATATTCCCTCATTCAGTTTCAACAGTTGAATGGAAAATTGAAATTCAATAATAAACCTTTTATTATTGGATTGCTTAGAACACTATTATGATTTGTAATAAAAGAAAAGGCACAAAATTTTCTCAGCAACCAACCAAACAAGGCAAAATCAATTAAAATACAAGGCAAAAAAGCGCGTACCTTGAGGCTTGCAGACAGGAGGGTCTTCAAAAAGAGCAAGGGACAGCTCTTTATGAGCAACGCCAATATCAAACAAGATCAAGCCAGAGGAAGGGTCCGTTACGATTATACCCTTCACCGGAAGCCACAGAAATAACTCTTCCTGAGACAGACCCTCGAGACCCACCAGCCCACCGTAGCTGAGATTAGCACGGACCACGCTGTTAAAGTACACCCTACCATCAAACTTGGCCATGCACGGTTGCTCCAGGTGCACCTCCAGGCGACCGTCCTGATCAAGACTGTAGGCTTTGACATTTTCAGGAAAGAGACCGGCGGGGAGGCCTTTGTTCCGGAGGAGGTCTTGGATTGAGGAAGCGGCGGTGAGAGGAAGGAAGAGGGTGAGAAGGAAAGATATTAGTGTCAGAGACATTGTTGGGGTTTTTTTTTATTGTTGAGCTTTTGTTTGTCTGAGTGTTTTTTAAGGTATGTTTTTGGAATTACAGAATCCAGATTCCAGACAGCAGAGACAATGCCCTGTTTGATTCCATTATTGAACTGGGACCACACATCCAGGGGAACCCTGAAAATTTTATGACCAGATTACCCTTCAAATTAATTTTGGGGTTCTTTCCTTGTTTGTGAATTTAGTATTGCAGTAATTTACAAAGAAGGGAAAATTTCTTATTGCATGTTACTTTATATAAAATTTTAATT